GCAATGTGTGTGTGAAATTAGGCAGCCAATCAGAGCGTGGCGCGTCATCGAGCATGACTGATGTCCTGACTCACGCGCACAGCCCAATCACTGAACGGTTAAACATTCAGGAGGAGGGATTCATCGTGTAATGGTGATCGTGCGACTGACTGAGGTAGCAATGGCCGCTGACGAGACCGCAGTGTGTGCTGACTGCGCTAAGTCATGCTTGAGAAAGAGGGTGACTGTGAACTCCGCTTCTTCAAAGCGTGAATTGAAGATAGGGTAAGACTGCCTGTGTCTAATCGTGTGTGTTGCGTTATGTGTGACGTGGAGGTATCTGGTAGGAGGGCAAACCGTGTCGGTGTGGTAGATTGCATCATTTTCCTATCGCGGGTCATGCCTGTTCCACACGGCCATCAGCTGATACCCAACTCCAAACTCTGTCTAGCGGTCACACCCCAATAATCAGGTCAACCGCCTAGCTAAACCGGATGAGGATATGTGGTGTTGCATGCGTCCCCACAGTCGGCAATTCCGTTCCCCTTCCTTCCCTCGCATTCATTTCCGCCTTAAAAAATGTCCTAAGGAGACGGCGACATGTAATCCCATGGACGTTCAAGGCTAACCCGGCTCGCTCTCCCACTATACAAAGCCGCAATTTCATCACCGTTGGTGATACTTGGCGTGACGGCTACTCGGCAGTTCGACTCACTGTAGTGGGAACCGTTGGTCGCTCCGCCCTCCCCGTAAAGTTAATTATTTGATCAGACAAAATCGCAGCACAGTGTATGGAGATGGAAGGTCATTGCACTTATTAATTGAATGCGGGCCAAAGAATCATAAGTCAAGCAGCTCCCGGTTCTCGCAGTTATCACCTTTTTCGAGAGTCTCGGGCTCGTCAAACTTGAAGGTGTGGCCGGTCTCCGTCAAATGGGCCGCGATCTGGGAACTAGCATTATCCCTCCTCACTGCTGCTGCTGCTGCTGCTGCTGCTGTTGTTGCTGCTGCTGCTGCTGCTGCTGCTGCTGCTGCTGCTGCTGCTGCTGCTGCTGCTGCTGCTGCTGCTGCTGCTGCTGCTGCTGCTGCTGCTGCTGCTGCTGCTGCTGCTGCTGCTGCTGCTGCTGCTGCTGCTGCTGCTGCTGCTGCTGCTGCATGTCTGACCATTTGGTGGCCGTCTTCTCACACCACTCGGATATGGATTTGCATAAAGGCCGGAGGCAACCATCAAGCGCCAAGTCATGGGACTGAAACATCCACTGTCATAGCAGGAAACGCCTGGAGTCCTTTACCGGATCTGGTGTAATTGCAGACAAAGCAGCTACGTCGGAGAAACTGAAAGATTACTTCAAACGGGAATGGTCAAACATGCAGTGGCAGTAGCAGCAGCAGCAGCAGTGAGGAGGGATATTGCTAGCTCCCAGATGGCAGCCCATTTGACGGAGGCCGGCCACACCTACAAGTTTGACGAGCCCGAGACTCTCGAGGGAGGTGACAACTGCGAGAGCCGCGAGCTGTTTGAGCCATGCTTCTCCGGCCCGCATTCAGTTAACAAGCACAGGGAAAATCGTCGAAACCAACAGAAATGCAAAGGATGTGCATGTCGCGAAGTGAAACGCAACAGTAAAATAGACATTGACATACAAAAATGGATCAACTAGGGATGACAAAAATCAACATTCTGTTCAAAAGACTACCATACACATAAGCAATTATGACTCATGAAGGTATAACAGAAAGTTATGGAAAATTATGACAGAAACAACGGATCCCCTATGCTTCAGACTACAAAAGCATCTACATTCACACGTGGCACATTAGAGAACTGACTAGTTATCCGAACCTCACGCGATTGCGCTAAACTACAGCGTAAAATCGCCTTAACGCTCTGAAGTCCTACCTGAGTCGTTCCTCTTGGAAATATAGTGTCCTGTAGGCTTAAAATTTACTCTTTCGACTGCTGCATTTGACCGGTGGGAAAATTAAGCCAGCATTCCCCTGAAACTACTTTTACACATTCCAAATACCCCAGGCGAACTTAAAAGCGGCCTGTCCAGACGGGTACACTCCAAGTTCGTAGGGTATATCTCCAAATAACTTACACAGTTACAAACTAGTGGTAGAGAAATGCATACAAAACGGCGAGCTGCAGCTACTAATTCAGCGGCAGTTGATCATTGAAATAGTGATCTTGATACGAATGTTATATTCGCGCCCGGACCCATCATCAGAAGCAGTGAAAAAGAAAACGGACAAGACGCCCAGAGCTCCAGCATTTGCCGGATGCGTCTGTTACAAGTCCGCGTACCTACCAGTTGTCAGGCCACACTTGACTCATCAATCGCTGCGCTTTCATCATCAGTGTTTACTTTCGCGAAATGATCGAGCAATGACATGAGAGCACAGGATTGCCGAGACACCGACGGCAACCACTGGCAATAATGGCACAGCGATGGATGAGTCACGCGCGGTCCACCAACAGACAGACATGTGGTTGGGTAGCGCACATCCTCTGCATACTTTATACCTATACATTTTTACTCAGTCCCAGTTACCGTCGCTGTATGTTCCAGTTTAGATCCGATACAACAGGATGACTCTGTCGTTTTGTAAATTGTCTCCAGTATTTTTCTTAATTAAAGTGCTACTTTCAGGCATAACCCAAACTCGAAAATCAAAAACCATTAAACGGTACCTTAATCCTAACCTCAAACTTAAAACGGAAGCCAAATGGGTCAGATGTGATTATGGAGCCCCATAAAATAGCCCCAGTCAGTAACCACCTCCGCCACCTGTAATACGGGGCCTGGCTACCAAGTGCGATCTGGCCAACATAACAAAAGAAATAGTACTGCTTCTTGGTAGATTTTGACTGGGCGTCTGATCTCTCATGTGGCCGTTTTGGCAGTCCTTTGCAGTAGATTGGCTGATCTAATTTGCGTCCTATGTAAGACGCAATTCCAAAAAGTGTGAGGAAGCTGTCGAATTTCTCCCAGACATTCCTGATATAAGGGAACGCTTGCCAAAATTGGGAGCAGGTTGGATGCCGACTCTCCTCTCGTTTATGCGTGAAAAAGTTGTGCGGTTATCCCTTCGCTCTGGGCTCCGGCTAACGTGAGCTAATGTGAGCTAATCATTCATATAAAACTATAATGCAGGTGCGTTTGTGAGCGACTGGGTGGTGGCTGTTGAAGCCCACGTCGTGCTTTGCAATGCATGAAATCATACACAAAACCAGTCATTGCCAAAACTACGACAACTGTACTAAGCTTCAGCTACAACCACCCCATCAGCCACAAACGCGATTGCCAAAAGGCGTTATATGGGCGGGTACAGAAGGTAGAGCGACGGCTCGTCAATCCGGTCTTGCAGTTGCAGAAGGCATTCGTTCGAGCTTTTCAGCAACCCCATCCAACACCTAATAAAACACGTTTCTATCCGTATCCTACTGCGTCGTGTTACAGCAATGAAACACCAACGCACCCTACTGGCACCCCTTTCTCGTCTCCTGACCTCAAAACTAGATCACAATTCCTTCCCTTGTTTGATAAGTCTTGACACCCTCCGACACCCAAGCTAAATGCTGGGCCACGTGTGGCCCTTCTATGTCAGAGGGTTTGACAGCGTGTGCCAGTATCAGCAAACCATGGCTCTCGCAGTCTGGTAATCGCTGGCAGTCCCCTGACACCTGATTTCCTTCCGGTAGATGCGCTTGCCCTCCCTCTGAATATGCAGGTGGCTGCACATTCGTCCTTGTCCTTCTGACCCCTATTGGGGTGTTGTTATTGTTGGTCAAGTGTATTTTGTGGACCAGGGGGTGTAGTTGCACGTCCAGATGCGGGTCCGGCCATGCCAACCACCTGCACTCTCCGCACCCCGGTCCTCTTGACTCTGTCTTAACACCGGGTCCAGGTGGTGGTGGTGGTGGTGGAGGAGGAGGAGGAGGAGGAGGAGGAGGAGGAGGCAGTGCGATAGACACTGCGCAAGTCCACTGTCACTATAAACTAAATCACGCGCAAGTCACCACCCCTGCTCTCAGCTTGCAGTGGAGCACACGATAGACGTCGTCAGAATTGACGGTCAAGCTGTCATGTGGGGAAGTCCCCTCGAAGATGGTATGCATCAAACGGGTTTGAGTCGATTAACCGTTAAAAATTTGTCTTGTTCCAGCAAGTACGCGAACTTGGAATGCAGTGGCCACTCTATGTAGTCCATAATTTCAGCACTTAGAACGACCATCAAGTAAAAAATGGGAAAAGGGATTACCAACTGCCCTATGTGGTTGCAGTAGGGCATTCAGAGAGAATTCGAATGCATTATCATTCTATTCCTTCCCACAGGCAGCTTTTCAGGCTGTGGGAACTCCAAATTTTCCATAGGCGGCCTGAAAATCTTTTTAGAAATCTTACTGATCGCGGATTATAAGCGTGACGTTACGTTAGGAGAGTAGCGCAAAATTTCGTTGGTTCGTTCCACTGAGCGAAAACTACTGATTTTGGGCAGTGCTGGACAGAATTCCAAAGTCCGACATGTAAATGTACACCCTCATTGAACCAAAAATAATATTTTCAGCAAAGTGGCGCATAGGGGAGTACTACTCTACATTGTATAAGCACATTATTTCGAGGGAATTCACAGTTACTTGCATTGGGAACATTGCCAACGATTAGTTCGATAAAAGCGTGAAGCCTAACAACTAGGTCACATCGTCATCATCATCATCAACGTCAGCATCTCACAGCATCGTTATATGCAAAATTTTCGGTAGAAAATAAAACAGCATTCGGCGGATATACTTATTAGGCGTCCCACATAAGTGGCAAACTGGATCTCCCAGTCTAGTGTGAAGGATCGAAATCGTTGTTTTAACGATCGACTGCTTTTGAAAGAAGCAGAATCCTCAGCATGCTGGTGCAACTGCAACTCTGATGATGCGACCACCCTGCAAGGGGGAATGTCAAGCACCTGTCCGGGCTATTTTTACAAGGGCGATGTTGGTATGAGTAGTCGAAGACAATGTCGGCAGTAGTGCTGCTACAAAGACACATTGCGGCTCTCCTCTAGGAATCTACAAATCGATCCGACGACCTGGAATGACCCCGCCTAGAATCGATCGGCCTGAAGGAAAGCAGCGAAGAGTGGAGGCAGAAATCGATCACTTTAACTGGATCGCCATTGTCAAAGTCAGAAAAGCAGCTTACAGGTTTCAAGCACCTCAAACCCACAAAACCAGCCCCGGACACACTAATATATCCACGCTGTCAACGAACATTCCGCTCGCTAATCGACCCCGAGGGACATCTCCGGACCCGATGCATCAACATCCTAACAACTCCGGCTTATACCTCCAAAAACGCCTCACCGTCATCCCTCCGTCAACCCCCACGTCGTCCATGACAGCGAGCATCATCACCAACGGCGGTCACACCCCTGGTGTCCCGACGCATCAGCCGACGTTGTCGACCCTCCCGCCCAGCACCTCTATCATCCTTGCCACAAAGTCTGCGACGATGACTATAACTTGTCCCACTCACACACCTGACGCCTGTCAACCACTACCCTTTGCACCGCCGCCGCCACCCCCACCACCACCAGTGTTGACTCCATCCCAATCTGTCCCCATTGCTGTCGCGTCTCCTCATCATGTATCGGCCTGATCGGTCGCTTGTGAGTCGGCCGCATAGAGAATGACTAACCGGTGCCGGGGGGCCCGATGTACACATTTCGCAATTGCCTCCACTGCCCCCCCCCTATCCACACATATTCACACATCAATATGTACACCACACATAAACACATCTGACATCGCACACCACAGAGAAACGGACTAGGCAGTTTTCACGTAAGTGGGAAGTGTGTTCACCAGCACAGCCCACTTGGCCTCTCCTCTACTTTAGCACATGTGAGTATCCGAGCCGCCCACCCCGTTGTGTGCAATCCTGGTGTGTGGAGTGGACGCTGGGTCGTGTATGTGGCATGCGCAGTGGAACTCCCTGGGTCTGTCAGCCACTGTGTCCCATCTCTCAGCATCGGTCGGTTGGCCGACCTGAACAGCGGGCTGGTTTCTGGGAGAGGGAAGATAACATGAGATCGACTCGCTCAGGGCACACTCCTTACAAGTATAGGCAAGCGGAAGCGCTTGAGTCGGTTGTGGTCCCACTCTGAGCGCCTGTCGCAACATCGCGAGTGTCTGCACGCGCGCACAAGGACTGTCTAGCGTTTGCCCACTTGACCTTCCAACTGGCCAATGAAATCC